ATTCTTGAATCTAGATTGTAATTCCAAATTCAAAGTTTACTAACAAGTGTAATCTAGGTACTTTCAAATTATAAACTCAACTTCTAATTGTAACCCTAACTTGTTAATTTTTTTTTTTTTTTTTTGTGATGATTTTTAATTTTATGTATTGATTTGCAGTGTTCTAGTTTTTTTCTCAAAAAGTAAATTTACAATTACTAGTTTTTTATTATTTACAATTATTTTCTGGTACAATGTCATTAACTATGATTTAATTTGTAAATCTTACCAGAAATTAGTATAAATATTAGTTATCTATGGAATATAGATGTATGATTATATATTAAATCACAAAATAGTCAATGCAATCTGGATTAGGGTTACAAAGTGAACCATGACTCAAAAGTATTGTACCAACTAAGTTTAACCAAAGCATTGCATAATGAGAAAAGTATTGTACCATGTATCCATTCCTATACTACATACCAAATCAACTCGTAGTCTAGGTAATATTGGTTGAGCCTTTAGATATTTGTATTTTTTGTGCCTTTTATGGATAATTTTTAAGTGGGAATATTAGATGAACATATACATTAACAAAAACAAATAAATGCCAAAAAACTGGATAGTTATTATTTTGGGATCAATTATGAAATGTGCAATGATATTATTCTTAAAGTAAAGCACAATAGCTTAAGTGCAGTACATTTGTGTGTGGTATGTGATCATAGTATATCTTTGAAGTTGAAATGTAAGTTTACTAAATGACTTTAAGATGATAAAAACTGTTGGGCAACAGAAAAACATTAGGTTCATAAACAAAGCATGGTTAAAATGCTAATATTAAGATGAGTTTGAAACAGAACAATAAATAATATCATTATGGATTAATGTATTGGTAAAATGGTATGATTACTACCCTTGGAAGAAAGTAAGAGAATTTAGTTATGTGGTCTGGAGTTGGGTCATATTTATGGAATATCTTTAGCTCCTATTGATGGTAATAATACCCTTGGTAAAACATAATGGAGGAAAATGACATGTGTAGCTTACCCAGATGTAGGGATGAAGTTTGAATTATTTAGTTGTGTACTAGAAGCAAAATCAATGAATGGTGTTTTTTCTGCAGAAAATGGGACAAAAATCCTTATTATTGTTTTTAATATGTCTAGAATGGGGTGTTGTGGGTGGCTTCATTCAAATATTTTAGTAGTTGTGTTTTTTAGATTCGATGGACCTATATCTTTTTATTTTTAGATGATATCATTATGTGATTTATGTTTCTACCTTGATTTGTTGTGTTTGTTTAGGCTGAAGAGGGGAAGGATAATTATATTTGTAGAATTTTGGAGTTCTTTGAGGCAGTAGATGGCACACCTTACTTCACAGCCCAATGGTTTTATAGGGCCCGTGATACGGTAGGAATTATGCAACTATGCCCAGGAAGCGTTGCTGTTCTTAATATAGTAGTGCTCTAACGTTTGCATTTTGTTGCTGTATTAGGTCATTCAAAGCTGCTGCAACCTGATTGATGATAAACGTGTATTTTTATCAGAAGTGAAGGATGACAATCCTCTGGATTGCCTCGTTGAGAAGCTGAAAATTGTTCATCTGCCTTTAAATGTATGACTGATCTTGTCTGGCATATTTCTGGCAAACTTTCTAGTCCCTGTATTTGCATTAACATATCAGGATTTTTTTTCAGGTTGATATGTATTCCAAGAAGGTTGCAATTCCAGATTGCCACTATTACTATGACATGATGTACTTGTTGCCATATTCCTCTTTTGTGAGCTTGCCACCACCAGGTATATTTTTCTTTTAGTGCTAAGATCAACAATTTGCTACTTTTAATGAGCTTTTTGTTTAGTTAAAGTGGAAAACAAGGACAGTTCTTTGGTTCTTAGGAGTCAGAAATAAATTTTTTGCAGATAACATGGGGAGCTGGAAGTGAATCGGATTCTACAATCTCCAGTGAGGCTGATGTTGCAGGAACTGTGGGGGGTGTTGAAATTTTTCAAGTTGAAAAGCATAAGAAGTCAGAGATGTTGCTTTTGGACCTTTACTCTGGCTGTGGCGCAATGTCCACTGGACTTTGCCTAGGTGCCAATAGTTCTGGGGTTAATGTGGTTACTGTAAGTTTGAACTTATATTTTACTCTTTTGATTGGTTATGTACATATGAATTAATTATGGTGAAGGTGAACACATTTTGTATTGTCCTATGTTGTTTTGGTTACACCTAAAACCCACTTTTTTATAATTACTTTTATACGTGTTTTAATGCAGAAATGGGCTGTTGACTTGAATCCATATGCATGCAAGAGCCTGAAATTGAACCACCCTGAGACTGAGGTACGTTATACTGCATATCATCATCTCTCTCCCCCACTCCCCCCCTATTTTGTCATCGTATTCATACGCATAAAACTTATGGACTGATTGATCTTTAATGCAATACAGGTTAGAAATGAATCTGCAGAAGATTTCCTATCTCTGTTAAAGGAGTGGGAGAAGCTCTGTGCTTCCTTTTCATTAATAGGTTGTGGGGATTCACAACAGCAACATCTAGATCCAACAAGTATAGAAGGTGATCAAGGTGATGATGATGATGAAGCCAGTGATGATGTGGAAGATGATGAAGTATTTGAAGTTGAGGAGGTGTTGGCGATATGTTATGGTGACCCTAATGAAATTAAGAAACCCGGACTGTATCTTAAGGTACTTAAACCAAGATATGTATTTTATTTCTAGTAAGGAACAAAACAGGAGCAAAGTTTTTTGCAGCATGCACATTCTGGATGAAGCCATAATATGTCTCTAATTTGCACATCAGTAGATATGTTCATATTTGAGCAATGGATTTGAAGTCATTCTAATTAATGAGGACAAAACATCTAGATCCGTGTTTCCCAATCATTCTTATCGATAGTTCTTGTTATAGGAATTATTGTTATATTATTCTAGTGCATAATTAGATGCTCAAAAAATGAACTTATATAAGCTTGAATAATTTTGATAAGAGTGTCCCAGCCATTTCCTCTGTTTCTTAAGTTTTCAAATATGTCTGTCTCTAGATTCGTTGGAAGGGTTATGGGCCAGAAGAAGACACCTGGGAGCCTGCAGATGATTTAGGGTATGCAAATAAATTTGATCATTTTTGTGCTTGAGCTTTCTGTGCTATATTCTTCTTATTTCAATTTGATTACTTGTATGCCATGTATCTTTGTTAGTGACTGTCGTGAGCGGATAAAGGAATTTGTCACCAATGGATTTAGATTAAAGACTTTGCCTTTGCCTGTAAGTTCCAATATTTGTAATTGTTCCATCCAATTACGATTGTTTCAATTAGAAATCAGTTTTGTTGATTCTTCTTTCTTTTGTATGATGGTCAATAGGGTACTGTTGATGTTGTATGTGGGGGTCCCCCATGCCAAGGCATAAGTGGATTCAATCGCTTTAGGAATAAAGAGAATCCCTTAGAAGATCCAAAAAATAAACAGCTTGCTGTGTTCATGGATATTGTGGACTTCCTGAAACCAAGACTAGTTTTGATGGAAAATGTGGTTGACATAGTTAAGTTTGCTGGGGGATTTCTTGGAAGATATGCATTGGGTCGTCTTGTTGGCTTGAATTATCAAGCACGATTAGGGATGATGGCAGCCGGTGCTTATGGCCTTCCACAATTTCGCATGCGAATGTTCATGTGGGGTGCTCGTCCTTCAGAGGTGATTTCATTATTTTGTTTAATTTCAGACTCTTTATTTTTGTGATTCATACTAGTTGCCTATTTTCACTTGCAGAAATTGCCCCAATATCCATTACCCACGCATAATGTCGTTGTAAGGGGTGTGATTCCTACTGAATTTGAGGTATGATAGATCCTTCATTTGTCTTTCTTATTTTTGTCATGGATTACATTTATAAACTTTGCATATGCATGCAGTCAAACACGGTTGGCTATGAAGAAGGTCATAAAATGGAATTGGAGAAGGAACTCTTGCTTGGGGATGCAATATCAGACCTTCCTCCGGTATGTAAAATCATGTTACAAAGGTTTTCCTTGATTTTTAATACGACTCGGTTTTTTATTTGTTTTTCTTTTAATCGATTTTTTATTATTTAGGTGGATAATGATGAGGCACGTGATGAAATACCATACGAGGGTGAACCCAAGACAGAATTTCAACACTTCATTAGATTAAGAAAGGATGGTGAGCCCAATATATTCTCTACTCAAAATTTTTCTGGAAAACCAAGGATCAAAATATTGTTTCGAAACATTTGAAACGTTTTCGTTTTCGAGGAGACTGAAACGAATCAGTAATTGAATTAAAATTTTAATACTTTGAGGTGTTTCATAATGTTCTGAAATATTTTGTTATATTTCAATGTATTTATACAATTATTTTAGAATATTTTAAGGTATTTCAAGATATTTTAAAATATTTCAATCAATGTTTTAAAAAAATAATTTTCAAATTTTTATTTTTTTTCATTTTATTTTCGAAATGTTAAATATTTTCAAAATATGTCGAAACGGTTCTGTGTTTTTTAGATAATCGAAATAATGCATTGAAATGAAATTTTGATCTTTATATAAAACTACTATTTTAGATTTATAGTCAAACTATGGTTTTCTAGTGTATTAATGTCATATCAAATGAAAAAGGAAAATGAAGGGTGAATTAGTTGTGTTAAGTAGCTCAGTGGTCTAATTACATGAAGAAAATGGTGTTCACATGTAGAAAGTACATCATATGTTGCTTGGCAGGTAAGTCTGTCAATGAATTTGATTTTGCTTTGTATCTAGTTTGATACTTTTATTAGCATTTGATAAGGGTTCCTTGATTGGATTATTCTAAAACAACTCAAGTCTACTATGTTATTTTAACAAATCAGATTTGATATAGGCCAATCTAATCTAGAAACGATCCCACCCAAAAGATTTTAAGTATGTTGAATGTGTTTTAAATGATATCTACATGCGATTCCAAATAGCTAGTGGGAGTTCCCTTCACTCTCTCTTATAATTTTCTTTGTGTAATTGTAGTTTTTTTTCATTTGTTCGTCATGATAATACACATGCAGTTTTCTTCCTCTTTGTCATCTCTTCTCTCCTTTGGTTTGTTGGTTTGAGAAATTTTTCTTTTGCTTTTTTAGTTATTGTATTTTTGAATAGTGGATTAGATTGTATAATTAGATTGCAAATGTGCTCATTAGCAAATTTGGAACATAGGTGTTGGGATTGTAGATATCCCAAGTGTTTTGAGCATCAAGGTTGCACAATCCAAAAAGGGTTCATGTCATGACCCAGATTGCTCAGGTTGTTGAGCCCAAATTGTAACTTAGATCCCTAATTGATCGACAATCCAAATGATCTAAAATTATAAACTTAACCCCAAATTGTAACCTTAGTTGGATATTTCTTTTTATTAGTGATCTTTAAACTTGTATTTTGTTTTGTTGGGATTTAAATGCTCATAATACAAATATGTAACCACTAGCTTTGATTATCTACAATTATTTGGAAACAACAATGATAGTCTAAATAGGAATAGAAAATGAATATTTGTTAACTATGTCTATATTTTATAACTAAAATATTCATACACTATTCACAATGCAAAATAGTGCATCAACTAAATTTAGTCTTATGACACAACATATTGAGAAAATCACTATAGTGTGTAACCGTAGTTGCACTACATAGCAAATTGTATGGCACAAATGTACTTGTACTACCTTGCAAATTATCCCCAATGGTGATTAATGTTTAAAAATTGCTATGAATGTGTGGCTCTTTTATTTCTCCATTCACTCGTAGCATTGAAATTGTGGTATAAAGCTCTTTATGAGTTTGATTTGAGTTCGGTAATCCCAATATTGTCTATCTTTACTTGAAACAAATCATTGTGTTTGAAAAAGGGGGTAAGACATTTATTTATTGGAATGTGTGGTAATGACAACACTTGAGATAGATGTAAGTGAAAGGGATACAAATTAAGTGTAGAGCCCTCGTATATATAGTCAATAAGAGTTACAATAAGGACAAAAAGGTAAAAAAGGAAAACTTAATAAAATCCTAATAAATTAGGCTCCTGTTATATCTCTAACACTCCCCTTCAAGCTAGGCGCAAAAATATCAATTAAGCCAAACTTGACAACAGAGTCCCGAAGAATAGACTGAGTGATAGGTTTGGTAAAAACATCTGTAACTTGATCACTGGTCCCCACAAACAATGGAGTGACAATACCATTGTTAACTTTTTCGCAAAGAAAGTGAACATCGATCTCTATATGTTTCGTCATCTTATGTAGTACAGAGTCAGAAGCGAGCTGAATAGCAGATTGATTATCACAATATAATGTAGACGGAGAGGTCACTGAAAAACCCAACTCGCCAAAAATCGATCGTAGTCAGATAATCTCACACGTGCCAAGTGCCAGTGCCCGATATTTTGCCTCTGCTGATGAGCGGGAGACAATTGCCTGCTTCTTGCTCTTCCAAGAGATAAGACGAGTCCCTTGAAAAGCATAGAAGCCCGTAGTAGATCGATCATCACATGCTTTCCCATAATTTGAATTTGAATAATAGGTTAGAGAACTGGTCTGAGATCCTGATGCATAAAACAACCCAAGTTCAGGACAAGACTTAAGGTACCGAAGAATATGATAAACTGCATTAAGATGAGGCTGACATGACCTGTGCATGAACTGACTAACTCGGCTTACTGCGAATGAAATGTCTGACCTAGTATTGGCTAAATAGATAAGTCTACCTACCAATTTTTGATAAACTGTTGGATCTTTCAACTCCTCACCTTCAGCAGTAAGCTTTAGGTTTGGAATCATGGGTGATGATGTCGGTTTGCACCCTAACATCTCAGTGTCTGAAAGAAGATCTAAAACATACATTTTCTGAGAAAGAACAACACCCCTGTCGCTATGGGCAACCTCAATCCTAAGAAAGTATCGCAGAAATCTAAGGTCTTTCACATCGAAGGCCTTCCCAAGGTTTATCTTGATCTGCGCAGTCCCAGAAATATCATTATCAGTAATAATAATATCATCAACATATACTAGAAGGATGACACATTATCCAGAAGTATTTCGTTGAATAAAGTAGGTATGATCAGAATGACACGTGGTGAACCCCAATCGTATGACTACATCACCAAAGCAAGCGAACCAGGCTCGTGGCGACTATTTTAGTCCATAAAGAGACTTACGCAGTCGACATACCTTTTCAGCATACTCCCTTTCACCACGAAAGTCTGGTGGTGCATCCATATAAATAATCTCGTCCAGATTACCATGAAGAGACGCATTCTTCACATCTAATTGATGAAGGGACTAAGAGTACTCTGCAGCCAGTGAAATAATCAACCGAACAGTAGTCAATTTTGCCACGGGGGCAAATGTAGTACCAAAATCACGACCTGGTACCTGAGTAAAGCCCTTCGCCACAAGTTTAGCCTTGTGACGATCAATAGTATCATTCTCAAAAAACTTCAGGGTGTAAACTCAGCGACAGCCAACAGGTTTCACCCTTGAAGGTAAGGAGACAAGATCCCATGTATGATTACGCTGAAGAGCGTCTATCTCTGTTTGCATGCCAAGAATCCATTGGGGCTCCCGCATAGCCTCTGAAATAGAGCGAAGAATCGTTGTATCTGATAAGGCTATAGTATAAGCTCAAAATGTGGGAGACAGATCACCAAAAAAACATAAGTAGAGATCGGATATAAAATCCTGGCGGTCCAACCATAACGATCAACTGGACGGCGATTACACCGCGGATAACGACGCCCTAAATTATACTCCATTGATAATATCTCATCAAGTAAATGAACTGGCTCAGTACCTGCAATCTCATCAGTACTAACAACAGGTGCATCAATATGTTTAATAAACTGAGAAGTATTACCTGCATCGCCTGTGGTAGAGGGGACATCAGCAGGGTGATGAGAACGAGGGCGACGAACATAAACTTGCAAAGGAAGAGAGATTGGTAATTCTGTACTAACAGGGATGAGTGGCTTTGAAGGAGGAGAAACAGATGACCCTGTAGGGATAATGACTAATGACTTTGACTCCTGTGGTAATAAAAAATCAAAGGGAGTATCATCAACTAGAGGGGCAGACATAGGCTTGGAAGAAAAATAAAGAATATGCTCAAGAAAGGTAACATCTAGATTGTAATACATACGACGATTGATAAGATCATAACATTGATACCCCTTAGATTGATGACAATAGCCCACAAATATACAATAAATCGCTTTATCATCAAGTTTATGACGAGTAGGAGACCGATCCTGAACAAAACATGTACATCCAAAAACACGAGGGGTGACTAGAAAAAGTGTCCACTCAGGAAATAAAATCTGTAAGGGAGTCTTATGTTGAAGAACACGACTCAGCGTACGATTGCACAGAAAGGTAGAAGTCAAAACACCAAAATGCCAATAAGATTTTGGTACCCTCATGCCTCTAAGCATACAACGTACCATTCCTATCAAACTCCTATTTTTCCTTTTAGCAACATTATTTTGCTCAGGAGTATATGGACAAGTGAGTTGTTGAAGAATATCCTGAGAAGAAAGGTGAGACACTAAGGCATTAGACACATTCTTTGGCATTATTCGATGGAAGAGCACTAACAATGACATCGAATTGTGTCTTAATCATCTGTAAAAATTGAGTGATTATAGAAAGTACATCAGACTTTCTATGCAAAAGGTAGACCCAAATACAACGGGTATGGTCATCTATAAATGTCACATAATATCGGGCACCTGACAAAGCAGTAACAGGAGAGGGTCCCCAAATATCAGAGTATATTAGGTCAAATGGCTTAAGTGACTGGTGTATGCGAGGAATATAATTGGCCCTAACATGTTTCGATAGGGAACATATAACACAATCAAGTTTACCACCAATACAAGCATTGCTTAAAGCAAAAAACAACATATATAAATATTTAAAATTTGTATGTCTAAAACGGTCATGCCACAACTGAATAGTTTGTGACGAAAAATCATAACGACAACTACTAGGTAAAATACTAGCATGCAAGCTAGGAATAGAAAAAGACAAAGCAGGTGCAGGTGATGTAGGTGGAGGAATTGGTGAAACTGGAGGTGGATTGCCAAAGATAATACAGTCCATCTTTCTCATGTCCCCTGATAATAATCCTCCTGTTACTTAGGTCCTAGAAATAACACGAATTAGATAAGAATACAACTGCATAGTGAAAATCTCTGGCTAATTGATTCATGGCCAAATTTGACGCATGAAAAATTGAACGTAATGTAAGGCCATCTGGGAGGTGGACTGTACCTTTACTAACAATAGGGGCATGTGTCTTATCTGCTAACTGAACTTGTGTATGTAATTGTTTGTCAAAAGTGGTGAAGTGATGGGCCTCACCTGTCATGTGACCATTTGCACCCAAGTCCAACATCCAAAGGGGAGATGAACTGGCACAAGTGTGAAAGGCACGATGTATACCTGTAGTGGTGACAGCAACAGTAGTCAGATTATGAGAAGTCAGAGCAGACATAAGTATATTTAATCGAAAAGTGATAACATCCATATTACTCTGTCAAGGTGAAGTAGTAGGAGTAGCGGTAGTGGGTGGTGGTACCTCAGCAATAGCAACAGTACGATTGCGAGGAGGCGATTTAAGCTCTGGATGGAGCTTCCAGCAAGTAGCCTTGAGATGTTCTGGTCGGCTATAATAATCACATTGACGGCGTTGATCCTAGCGCTGCCCACCCCTGATTGAGGATCTTGAACGAGACTTTGCAGTAACTACAAGGGCCATCTGGTCAGTAGAAAGAGTTAAAGCCGCAATTGGAAGTGATGCAATACGGACTCGATGCTCATGCTGCATAATCATCCCATATACTTCATAAAGAGAAGAAAGTGTCAACATCAACAAGATCTGAGAATGAGGTCCCTCAAACTCATCACGAAGCCCCATAAGGAATTTGTGAATCCTATCCTCTTGTTTTTGAGTATGCAAGAATGCTGCTCTCTCGGGCTCTATCTTCGGAATAGCAGCAAGAGGACGTAGAGTCTCATACTCAAGCCAATGCTGAGTTAAATAGTCATAATAATCTTGAACGGTCATATCTCTCTGTCGAGCATATAAGAGCTCCTGATAAAACTTATAAAGATGAACTTTTCATCTTGATTGAGAATACATCTATGATAGTGTGCCCCATAGCTTCGGAACAGAGCTATAAAATTGGTGAATCTTACAAACAGATGGCTCCATCAAGCCAAAATAACTATTCAAGAATGGTGTAATTCTCAGAGAATCACGCAGAATATCCAGGGTTGGGATCAACTTGGTTGGCTGACGAGATCCCACCCAAAGCTAGTTGTTATGGAAAAGAATCAAGTTTTTTTGCTACCTTTTGGGCATTGATGTCAAAAGAGTTGGAAGACAACTTGTAGTTAGATGAAAATATTGATAGTTATTGATTGATGTATATTTTCAACTCTGTTTTTCCTTTTTTTTTTGGTATTGCATTAGATTTGAGGTGGATTTCTTATGCACTACATTGTACTTTTTTACTTTTTATTTCACCGTAAGTGATGAATTTTTTTTTTGTTTTCTATCAAAAAGGTGGTATGAGCACTATGGAGCCTTTGTTTTCGTTTAGGTTTGGTAGAGGTTTCTTGGTTTACTTTAAACTTGCACTAGTTTTTGAACTCTATAAATCCTAGGTTTAAGTTGCAATTAGAACTTTTGTTTTGTGTAATAGTATTGTCATGTTCCAAATCTAAGTCATTGGCTGTGCAAATGGCTATTAGTTATTGCATGTTTACTTTTGTTGTTTTTCCGGTAGCATTTTTTTAATTTCTTATAATATATAATGCTTAGTTTTCTGTCTCTTCTACGCCAAAGATGATCCTGATCCTCATTCTATGCAAGGGGTCTTTTGTTTTTTTCAACTATGGGGTGGTTCTTAAAATGGACTTGCAAACAACATAGCTATGCTTTTTATAATTTGCCTCCTCTGATATATGTTTCCATTTTTATATCATGTAGAAATGCCAGGTTGTTCCTTATTTGGGTCAGAAGCTTTACCACATCAAATTTTTGACCATCGCCCTCTTCAATTGAATGAGGATGATTACCGACGTGTCTGCCAAATACCAATGAGAAAGGTTTGGTAATTTCACCTCTCATTACGTGTTGTGTACTACTGATGAAAATTTGAAACTTTTTGGTCTTTTGATCCATGCCATTGTTTGTTATTTTCAGTGTGCAAACTTTAGGGATCTGAGAGGTGTACGGGTTCGTGATGACAACAAAGTTGAGTGGGACCCAGATATTCCAAGGGTGTATCTGCCTTCTGGGAAGCCATTGGTATGATTTGCTTTGTAATTTTCAATCTTTGTATATTTTTATGCTAGTTGTCGGTTGAAAGTGATTATGTTGTCATTAATGCTAGGTACCTGATTATGCAATGACTTTTGTAAACGGAAGTTCATCAAAGTACGGAGTGGTTGGTTTGTGTTTCATAATTCTGTAAATAAATATAAATTTTTGTATGTACTCATTTGCAAAATTGTGCAGGCCGTTTGCTCGGTTATGGTGGGATGAGACAGTGCCAACTGTGGTTACTAGAGCGGAACCACACAACCAGGTGGTCTTTCCTGTTTGCATATACTTTTGAGGCACATCCTTATGCTGGTAGGAATATGCTTGTGCTTTATCTAATGCCCTATTCTTGATTTCTTGTTAGGCAATATTGCATCCTCAGCAAAATCGAGTACTTTCCATTCGGGAAAATGCAAGATTGCAAGGCTTTCCCGATTATTATAAACTTCTTGGTCCAATTAAAGAAAGGTAAAACATATTATGAGGATAAGGGTATTGGGAATGGGCACAAGTTTTTGTAAATGAAGTTTAGAATAGTACTTATTCTGCTATACTTTACAAAACATGGTTCTTTGACGACTTTTGTTTCAATATACATTCCAGATACATTCAAGTGGGGAATGCGGTGGCTGTTCCTGTCGCACGAGCCTTGGGATATGCTTTGGCTTTGGCACTAAAAGGATCATCCAAAGAAGACCCTTTATTTACCTTGCCTGCGGGGTACCCTAAAGTTATGAATCCGACTTCTCCTATCTCTGATGAGGATAGTTTTTAATTGTTGTACGATTAGTTGTAGTGTGAACCATTTATTCAAAAAAAGGGAATTCACTAATTTTTATTTGACGATGTATCTAATTTATTAAGCCAAACCAAACGTAAGAAAACACTATCTCAAATTATTTGGGGGCATGGAATGTGTTCTTATGCTGTTTGCTCCTTGTTTGGTTGAGTATTGATTGGATTAATATAAGCTATTTCCTCTACAACAAAAGGTTGTGCCATTCTTGCAAGACTTTTTCCTCTTGTATTAAAGCCTTGAATAAAAGAAAACGTTATTTTCTTACTAAAATTTTTATCTCAATTGATGTGGTATAATTTTTGTTATTGAATATTAATGAAATCTATTTATTTGATATTAAAATGTCACATCATTTGAGATGAAAATTTGATAAATATAGCATCACCTTTTTATAAACGCAGGGAAGGTAGAATGTAAGTGCTCTTTGGTATTCATGTCCTACGACATTTTATTGTATTGTGGGTAATTGATGACATGCCTATGCTTTCTCTTGAGGCTTATGCTTTATAGTTATATGTTTTTTGGTTGTTTTTTCTGAAAGGGTAGTACAGTGCACGTGGATGTCACGGGAGTGGAAGATTTTTTTTTAACTTTTTTTTTTTAAAAAAAAATTTAGAGTTATTTTATTTGGATCTACAAATTTGACATAATTTACTAACATGATAATATGATTTCAATGAAATCATTGAATAAATACTAAGTTTCAATGCTTAATAGAATTCACAGTTAATCTAAAGATGATAATAAATTAGGTCCACAAATTAGGTTTTAATAACATTGCCTTTTTTTTTGATAGGACACAAATTTATTGAATGCTACATTATTAGGAAAGTAAAGAATTAAAAGGGGGATTGCAAGTACACAGGATCCTCTAGCATTTTCAAAATCATTTCCTGATAAACCTGTTGCATTCTAACCAAGTAAAGCTGCTTTAAACAAGAAACGACTACATCTAAGGTCTCTACGTTATGTTATAGTCTAACTTTGATTGAAACCCAAGAGAATATTTAATCGGATCAAATCTTTCTTTTTGTTTCCAAACGGTTCCAAACTCCAAATCGAGAGCATTTCTTCTATCGCAACATGACCCAAAACCAAATACTTCAGTTGCAATAAGTTTGACATACTTGGACCTCTACATTACGCGATAGGCTTGACAACTCAAGACATAATTTGTTGTAATCTTGACACGAAATCAACACAAAATTAGTAAATTTGTGTGGTAAACAGGTTTTTCTTTTTGGGATCAGAATGTGGTAAATAGGTGAAGCTGTTATAATCGTCAATAAATGAACATACACAAACTCTACCAATCACAGTGTGAGCCTATTAAACACAAAACAAACACGTCACAATACGAATTGAGAGAATTTTGACTTGAAGCAAATTGAACACTTATGACCTATTGCAAACTCGAGGATGAGTCTTGATGAGGATTTATTCCAGGGTTGAGATACAAACTTAGACACTTCAGCCAACTCAGTTTCTAGGCTAGGGTTGTAGATATGTAAAAGAATGTGTAGTTATGCCTCTCGAAAACCTGTTGCAATTATTTGCTAAAAAAATAAGATACCATTTGGCAACTTTTTAAAGTAATTTTTTGAGCAAATAAGAAAATTTGTCAAAAAGCAAAAGAATATTTCATTGCTAAGTGATCAATATACATATTAGTTAATAAATGGAACACAATAAACGTAAATATGTATATCCTTATGCATGCAAAATTGTTTGGAGGAAAAGAGTAAACTTTGGCAAGAAAAAAAATGCAAACACATGCTACTCAAAAAAAAATAAAATTATAAAAGCCCAAAAAATAAAAAGACAACTATTTTAAAAACAGTTATTAAAAGGTACTCATAAACTTAGGAGATAGCCAAATTTGAACTCCAACCATCGGTACACCGGAGGCAAAAGAAACCCACATTCATACTCCTTATTCCAATGGCACCTAATAATGAGTTAAAACGTGAAACTTCACTGTTCCCAAAATATTTTTGTTTGTTTATACTTCCATCAACAGATTCTGGGAAGAGCTACACTCAACCAAGTTGAACGTCATCCGTGAAATTTGAAAATTGAACGCTACATTATTACGAAAGTAAAGAATGATAAGGGTGATTGCAAGTACAAAAGATCCTCAATAGCAGTGTCAAAACCATCTCCTGATAAACGTGTAGCATTCTAACCAACTAAAAGCTTCATTAAACCAGGAATGACTACATCTAGGGTCTCTGCTTTATGTGATAGTCTTAACTTTGATTGAAACCCAAAAGGCATCTGAAAATTTTGCACCAACAGCTAGAGAGGGAAAGTTTAATCGGATCAAATCCTTCTTTTTGTTTCCAAATGGTCCCAAACTCTCAATCGTGAGCATTTCTTCTATTAACTTCTTTTTCTACCCCCTCCGGGCCAAAAAAAAAAAAAAAAACCAAAAGACTACATATAGGTAGAATCACCAAAGCTAGCAATGGCATTAACAGACTTCTAAAATTATATAGCACAGGAAGACAAATCATAAATTACACCCCTAGGGAGCAAACATACAGATTAAATGATGTATAGCAGAGAACTATGCAGACCATCACAAAAGCTATATACTGAACCAATTTTCTCCTCAAAATACTTCCTTTCTATATTGAATCTTCAAGTTTACGCAGACAAAATTAATGCATGAAGTGGTAATCGAACAGATTTATAAATCAAGTCCACAAATTTGTTCAACACACCCATATCAATTCATCAACTGCTTCACAATTTTCTTCAGATTCAAACCTTACCTATGACTAAGAACAATACCCAATTCCTAGTCTACCAATTTAGCTTGATATCAGAGACAATAAAATAGTTTGGTGACCCACGTCAACCTTTTAACAACTTCGCAATTTTCATTCAAATTCAAACGCTCCCTCATTGTGGTATAACAGTTCTACCTCAATCAAACTAGCAAATCTACATTAAAAGTTGAAATATGGATAAATGTATTCACGAAAACAAGGTCCAAAACATTGAAAAAATGGGATTAATTAGTCACATGGGTCATCTATATAATGAAAAATTCCAACAATTTGAGTTCATCTAACTCATATTTATAGCAAAACATTCATACTCATTCACGTTAGGACTTCGACCTGACAACGGGGAAAGGAGGCAATTTGAGCACAGCTTCTTCGGTCTCAATCGGGTCTGATCTCAGTATCTATTAAAACAAAAGAAAAGCCAACAAATCATTCAATTTATCACATCCAAATTAAACATTCTTAATGTTAATAGACATTACGAGCAAGCACAATACAGTGAACTCGACATACCCAACTGAAATTAATTACAGACTTGATCACCATACCGGTAATCAAAACTTCATTACGTGGATATACAAGTCTAAAGACATTTGTATGTATGTACATGTATGCATCTATATATATATATAAACATACAGAGGAGGGCAGAGAGAGAGGTTACTGGGTCTTCGAGGACAGGTTTTGTGTCATCTTTCGCTGGTCTAAAAGGGGGCTTCTTATCTCTTGGCTTCACTTTCTCCGTAGTGCTGCTTGTCATCGAAACCCCTGAAGCTTTCATCTTCCAGAATGGGCGGATCTAGGATAGGCACAGGGCTGAATATTTTTTGCCCAAAATTACTATACATATAATTTCAGTTTTTCTTTTTTTGTATTTACCTTATATTATTTTGTTATTATATTATTTAGTACAGATATATAAATGATTAAAAATTTTTGAGCACACTTTAAGTTTAAATACATTATTGTCGTGGATAAATTTTAGACATATTAAGAGTATTTTATAATTTTTAGCAAAAAAATATGAAATTATTTTAATATTTTATATAAATTAGATTATTATGTAATAAAATATAGGATTATATTATATTTTATAAAATAATCATGAGTCACAATTTGCCATTACAAAATCATTTGGATTTTTTAAAAAATCAAATAGAATATAATTAATTGACACGATTATTTTCATTAGACCAAAAGGAGGAACCGATAGAGAATAGAAGAAAGTGACCAATGAATATGTAGCTTTCGATTATTATGTGATCCTCTAACAATTATATTTTCTTTTAGTGAGATGTGACTTGTTCTAATTTAAGGTCTAGATAATCAACGACAACACTATCATATTAGATGGATCTTAGCAGTTTTTTATCAGCTCAACAATTATATTAATAATGTATGCTTTAGCATTATAGTTTCAAATCTAAAAAGAATTGACGGTTTTACCCAAACAAATGGTTAAAATTATAAAATATGTAATATATCTATTGATTTATTTACTTGTAAATTTGTTAGTAATTTTACTTATATCTTTATTTTAGGGATAGAATTTCGAACTATAACAAGTGCGAAAACACGATTGTGTAACCAAATGGGTAATAATTAGGAGACTAATAATATGATTTTATACAAAAAAAAAAAAAAAAAAAAAAAGGAGAAGAAGAAGAAGAAGAAGATATTTTCAATGATATTGCTAATGCAAGGCTTTTTAACATGTGAAGACTGGTCGAAATAATTTTTTGGTTTAAGAAATTTTTAATTGTTAAATATGATGTATATAATTAATGTATCATCTTAATTTTATTGAGTAAAAAAATAAAAAATAAAGGCCCAACCCTAGGAAGCCTGTTTTCCAGTCTGCTCTTGGTCAACAATTCCAATCTCTTTCTCAAACTTGTCATTCTAATGGTATTTCTGTTAATTAACTTAATTTGAACATTGCACGAGGGCTTTTTGGCCACGTCACCAAAAATGATACTTTTTTGTTGAAACACAAACTGTCTTTCTTTGAGATCTATTTGAGATGCTCTCCAGCCAAATTCAAATATTCTTCCAAAGGTCAAAAACTATCGCCTATTCGCTCCGACTCCATTTTCTAATCTTCAAAGCTGCTGCCCTCGATAACGATGAATACTTAGAGCCTGTTTGGTTTACGTCTTTAAAAATAGTATTTAAAAATAATTTTTTAAAAAAATTAAAAAAAAATATTTTTAAGATGAAAAACTTATTTGTTTATATGATTTTAAAAATAATTTTACAAAATAGAAAACAATAAAACCTGTTTGGATAGACAATTTCATATAAAATTATTTTAATTTATTAAATTTGATAATATAAAATTAAAAAAAAGCAAATTAGCCATTGATTTATCTAAACTGGAGCTTCGCCGGAGTAATAAATTTTTTTTTTAAAAAAAGAAAAATTAGTCGGGGCTTCGTCGGAGTAATCCTAAAATCTAAAAGTTTAACTGCACCGGAACTTCGCTAGAGTAATAAAATTAAAAAAAAAAAGAAAAATTATTCGGAGCTTCGCTAGAGTAATCTCAGATTCTGAAAGTTGATCTTAGATCTAGAAACCCATTACTGGAGAAGCAAACCAAGATCTGAAACCTAGATCTAAAACTCAGATATGAAACTCAAGAGAAAGTCTGGGAGGGAGAAAGGCCAACAAAAGAATTTTTTTATGAAGTAAACAGTCGCCGGAGAGCTCCCATTCGTCGGAGAAGACGATCTACAGTTGCCGACGAAGATCCTTTCGTCGGAGAGTGTTGCCGTTCCTTTATTTTGGTTTTGCCATAGAGAGAGAGAGAGAGAGAGGAAAAAAGAGACAACAGACAAAAAATAATACCTTTTATAGGACGATCTTATTTGCTGCTAAAAAGGTTCAAAGGACATACCTCTTTAATGAGTAAAGATTGTCTCCGTATTTCAAAATTTTCAAAGAAAACTATGAAAACAAGTTTAACTTATTTTTTATTTTTTTGCTCCAATTCTCATGTTTTTAAAAAAAATTTGAGAACAAAAATGCTAAACAAACAGATTTTAAGTGTTTTTGAAATTTTAAAAATAAAAAACAGTTTTCGAAAACAAAATCAAACACACACTTATTATCTCAGTTCATACTATTCTCATTTACAGTTCAATAGAATTTTCAGGATTCTTTTTTGAAAATTCACCACTCTTTGCATTGAATACAATTATCAAAGGGTACTCAAAGAGCTCAATACCAATTTAATCGGTGAAGCTGTTCTCTCAGCTCAAATATTTGGGCTTAAGCCTGACAAGTTAACAAACCCCCTTTGTCCTCAAAACTTGTGGCCGTGTACGGTGGTGCGTGTTGGTGCGGCAGTGCATTCAATGATTTGGAAGATGGGTTTTGATTCGGATAAACAAATAAACAATACCCTTTTGAGATCCTATGTGGCAAGTGATGAAGTTAGGCTTCGAGGCAGTTGTTCGATGAAATAAGTGAGAGAGATGTGGTTATTGCCAGATACGACGGTAAGTTTATTATTTTGGGCCCATTAATAATATTTTTAAGTTGTAATTTGTAAAAATTGAGAGTGAATCTCTCTAGACGAACTTATAATAATTTGAGTTCTAGGAAAAAACTTATTTGAGAGTGAGTTTATATTCAAACTTATATGTAGCTACTTAAGTTTACTTATTTTTTAAATCTTAAAATTATCCATAACGGTGTTAGCTTTATTCAGTTATAAAAAGTCAAATAAGTTAGATCATTGAGATATATTTGAAACCCTTTGATTGAGTTATATATGAAAACCGTTTATTAAATATTATGATAATTAACGGAAGTTTTATATGAAAATTATATATTTCGATAGTTATATATGAGAAGCTTAATGTATGAATAAATTGCTGGTCTATTAAGTCAAAATTAGATCACAAAATTTTCTTAACAACAATAATGAATAATATAGGGAGGCTGAACAATGCTAACAAAGTTCAATAACACGAATGTTGATATATTTTATTTTTTTAAAAAGGAGTGCAACACGCGAACTTCCCAAGGGGTCACCCATCCTAGTACTACTTTGGCCCAAGCACGCTTAACTGCGGAATTCTGATGGAATCCGATGCATTAGTGTTGGTATGATCACACCCTCAAATGTTAATATATAGTAGCATTCATGTTGCTATATGATTAAAGTTACAACTAGGGTTGTGTTGCCAGTACAATCGTATTATTATACTGACACTAATGTTACTATAGTAAATTTTAACATATAATTACAAACGTTGAAACGTATATTATGTAACACACATTAATATTCATAGTAACGTCAAAACTTTGTGCTCAGTAACACATCTTATTTTACAAAATACAAGATAATATTTTTTTTTAAAGTAAGATCAACTTTTGAATGATTTTAGTAAAAATACAATCCACAAATTGAAAATTTAAAAATGACGAGTAGTAACACACAATCGACAGTTGAATTACGACACTCAACCAATTGTGAATATCAAGACATCGAAATTCTGAACTCCATTTTTTGGTTGACGTACAGTATCATGAACTTTTTTCATAGTAACATAACTAAGGAATACTCGATTGTCTTGAGCAACAAAAAAATCAACAAAATCAAAATCTATACCACTTTAATTTAGTACTAATATATGTGTTTTCTTGAATCTTAGTTATGATAGAATTAAATTCTTAATTTTTATTATTTTTTTATCATGTTACTATTTTTTTAGTGATCATATTACTATCTTTGTTGAGTATATTACTATTGTTATTTTTCAAATATTAATATTTTGTCAATAGAGTTAAATTTAAACTGGAATAGTAAATTGAAATTGTATTTTATAGAATATAATGAGTTTAAAATTTGAATATAAATGATTTTTTGTAAATGTCGATTTCTTATTTTTTGGATAAGAAAATATTGTGGCTTGAAAAATTGTAATCGGATTTAAAGGCGATTATGAAGGAGATGTATATGACTGGTTACTATGTCCATAAACATTGTTTATAACATTCGTATAGGGAAGGGTTACAATACTAAAATTGATAAAAAATAGATTTAAAACCAAATAAATTTTCTTGATAAACTTATCTCAAAATAAGTCCATATAGGGACCGGCCTCTAAATTTCTCTTGTAATTTTATTGTTAGGTTGCACTGTACGCACAAAGCAGGTGCAGACTTTAGTCTCATATGCATAGGAGTAGCTAGGATCATCAGGTTGCTCTCAACTAACGGACATTTAAATTAATCAGAAGTTTACAAGTAAAGAATCTGAATATCTGATTCATTCATTGGGAATAGATAGCTCAAGTGTCCAACTATACTGCATACAGAGTCCATGAATTATTGTAATATTAGTCATATCTCGTGCCTAAAGACACAAAAAAAATATAAAATTCGAGCGACAAAAAAAATTAATTTCACTATACTAAATAACAAATTTTTCCCTTCATTTTTTTGATTATATCATTTAAAATTTATTTTTATCTATTATTTTCTTAAAATTATTGACAAAATTTTTCAAAATATATAATTTGATAAAATTTTCTCAACATGTATATACTATCGTATATAAATAATATCTGAAATAAAAATTATGTTAAACTATAAATTAAGTAAATATTAAATGATTGAGTATGTGATAAGATGAGTGATGTGATGAAATTGAGGAAAAAAATATGTAGAGGATAAAGTTCAACTTCTCACGCGATTCATGTACAATTGTGAATGAAAGTTGACTTTTTTTTCTCTGCAATTGCTTTTGAGTGGACTTTGAGGAAGAATTTTGAAGATGGTATGTGATTTTGATCGTGATAATCTTGAAGTTTGGCCAATAAGGTTGGTCAGTCGAAAACGGATGCCTCATGTTTGTCATTGTGGTATGCATTCTTGTTCAGGCTTACGAGAAGATATTCAGGTTTCACCTTGAGGCTTTCCATGGACTGCGGCCAGTGAAACACCCCGGGTGGAAGATGGGTTACGAGATTGAGTCATTTGAAGTTCATTGTAAAAATGTGAGGTACAGGGAAACCATTAGGCGCATATTACTTGCCTTGAAGCCCATTATATTTGTAAAATCAGAGAAGCAGCCCATTTATTTGGATGTGTAGACTGTTCCTCATATTGATTGACCACATAAAAGGTGCTTAGTTAGATTTTAAGTTCCCCCTTCCCCTTCCCCTTCCCCTCCCCCACAAAAAAAAAAAAAAAAAAGGGTTAGATTTTAAGATTTTTTTCCTAATTTTTATAGACTTTATTAACGCTATTCAATTCATTGCAAAATGTTTGGCATCCAATGTTTAAGACTATTATTGGAAGGCATTTAAATCAGTGGCCTACAATCTCTCATTAGACTATTTTGATCTGAATTTGAAATTCAGAATATGAACTGTTAATGTTTATTTATGCTGATTGGTCTATAAGAATGTAGGAAAAGAAAAAAGAACTAGCTAGACTTGTGTATTATTCTTATTGGATTGTTGATGCATTTTTGTGTCTTTGTTACATTCTGATTTTCCTTAAGATAACTGGAACCTTCTACTCGAATATCACATTTCTAGACCCCTCCTTGTTTCTCACCATCTTTTTAGTCATTTGAAGCTTAACATCCATGTGGTAGTCAAGATGGTTTATGCATTCATTTTGGCTTTATGACAAAATGGGGATAAACTTTTAGGGATGTTCTAATGTTTAAAATGTCATATCTATTGTTGTGTAGGAGAAATTATAGTTGAATTGGCGAAAATGATTTGCGACTTTGTCATGTTAGCATGTGTTAACATTGTAGTGGATTGATTCTCACATGATTTTCTCCTTGAATCTTGATGTATTGAATTTGTCTTGAGTTGCTGCATATATCTTGTTGTATTACATCCCACACATCATGGGACTTATACCTCGTTAATTCCTCCTCGCAATCCCACTCATTATGGGGGAATCATGTATATATAACACGTGTACTGTAATACAATCATTCAATTTCTTCCTTTCCAATTCGGTTTCTTACTATGGTATCAGAGCCTTTGTAATTCTTACCAACAAAATTTTGTTTCCTTTGTTAGCTCCCAAATCTATCAAAACCTTTGCCATGGCTACCAATACCTCCTCAACTTTTCCAACTGTTTCTTCAACTCCAGCAAAACAATAGAGTATGAAGTGTCCTCTTCGTTCT